AGAGCCCCTGCCTAGAATCTCCCAGTGAGGGGCTGGGGTGTGGCTCAGTGGTAGAGCCCCTGCCTAGAATCTCCCAGTGAGGGGCTGGGGTGTGGCTCAGTGCTAGAGCCCCTGCCTAGACTCCCCCAGTGAGGGGCTGGGGTGTGGCTCAGTGCTAGAGCCCCTGCCTAGAATCCCCCAGTGAGGGGCTGGGGTGTGGCTCAGCACCAGAGTACCTTCCTAGAGTGAATCTACTGTGGAAGGATTGGGGGTGTGACTTGGTACAGGGGCTTCCCTGACATGACTTGTATTCCAAGTATTGAAAGAAAGAGCTGTGAACCAGAGTCCCCCAGGTGTTTGGCAGAGCTGTGCAAAGCCCAAGGGAGAATGTTTTAAATACAGTCGCATACTGACAAAGTAGAAAGCAAAAGAAGTTTCTGTATTGTGGAAGTACTTTATATGTAAAGCATGCTGGGAAATTCAGAAAACCCAGGTACATCCCGAGAGCCATTAGGCAAGGCCTGGGGAGACAGGAGCTGCTTTCAGACAGAACTGGATTGGCTGAAGGTCCATCACCAGGGTTGGAAATCTCCCACATGCCAGTGTCTGCATCCTCCTGTCTGCCTACCTCCCCAGTAGCCTCTGTGGTAGTGTTGGTTGCTCTGACTCAGTCCTGCCTCTGGGCCTGGCCAGCACTTTCCCACTTTGGGTTTTGGCTGCTAGGAAGAGCATCTTTCCAGAGCAGCAGCCCTGCTGACTCGGTCCTCACCGTGAAGTTTCCCCCATATACCAAAGATTGGCTGCCCTTGAGCCTCACAAGCAGAGGGAATGTTAACAAATGCTTCCATTGCCTCCAGAAAGTGAGTTCCTCAGAAAGCCCAAAGTCTGCTTCAGAGCTGGGCAAGCCAAATCCCCTGGTCCGCTCCCCATCCAACATCTCAGTGCAAAAACAGCCAAAAGAGGACCAGTCCAAAGAGGACCAGCCCAAAGTGGATCCGTCTGAGGACCAAGAGCATCTCCAAGGAGCCCTGAAGAGCCTGAAAGAGGAGCTGAGTGCACTGCAGGAACAGCTGCTGGAGAAAGAGTAAGTGCCTGCCGACCTGCACCAGGTAGGGCTGAAGTGCTGGGCCTGTGTCAGCTAGGACATCCACATTTCAGGGCACTGAACATCTACATCACAGGTAGGATAGAACTTGCCTGTGATCTCAGCACTTGGAAGGGTTTGGGCAGATCAAGTCCAGCCTCTGTGTCTTAGTTACTTTTAAATTGTGATAAAGCCATGACCAAGGCCAGCAGCCCTGCCCACCCTGAAACCTGCTGCAGATGAAGGATCTCAGGCCCTGCCCACCTGGGCGCTGGATGGAATACAGGCCTTGCACCTGCCCCTCCCCCATAACCCTTCTCCCAAACATCCTCCACCCCACCACCCCTCTCTTTCCTTGCTCTGGCCCTGTCCTTTTGAGAGCTGGTTGGGAGATCCAAGGCCTCAGGCTCCACCCACTTATGAGCTCATGAGGGCTGCTAAAGGGCTGCTTGGGAGCTAACTGGCATGGAGGGCCTCAGCCCTGACTACCTGGGAGCTGGTGGGATGCAAGGGCCTCAGGTCCTACCCGCGCCAGTGCTGGGTAGGGTTGCAATATTTAAAGCTCAGCCAGAGAGGTTAGGAATGGAAGACCCAAGGCCCCACCTGCTGGGAAGAAGGGTAGAGAAGCGGCTCCTCACCAGGTCTGGCATGCACCAGTATTCCCAGCACGTGGGAGGCTGAGGCAGGAGGATCTCAGTTTGAGTTAAGCCTGGCTATATAGAGAAACTCAAAAACCCAAGATCTGGGGACATAATTCAGTGGTACGGTACTCGCCTAGCTGTGGGCCGTCATTCAGTAATACAGTGCTCGCCTCACACGTAGGGGAACAAGTCAGTGGTACAGTACTCCACAAACATGGATATAGTTCTGTGGTACAGTACTTGCTGAGCACATGAGCTGTGATTCAGTGGTACAGTATGTGCTGAGCACATGGGCTACCTTAAATTGAAGCTCTAGAAACATGGGATAGGGGAAGGCAAAAAAATGTAAAAGTTTAGAGCTGCCAGACCCCCTTCAAACTGTGTCCCTAGTTTCTTCCTGGCCTACTTTTATATGCATTGCTGAGAGTTGACAATGGGTTCCTTATAAAAATTAGCATTTCATGGAAAGATTTTAAGTTGTGATGGTGGCCCTGAGGGATGGCTCATGAGATAAAGGCACTTGGCACCAAGCCTGATGGCCTTCCTTAGATCCTGGGACCCACACTGTGGGAGGAGAAAAAAAAGACAGCTCCCACAAGGTTTCCTCTGACTTCCACATATGTACCATGGCACATGTGCAAGTGTACATGCACACACACAGTATATATAAAAATAACTTAAATTACATTGGACATTCTGAAGTAGATTTTCTGTCTTGCTGTCATCAATTCAAAATAAGACCAAAATGAAAGAAAAAACCCACAGCTGTCACCTCAAGGGGTTAGCAGTTTATTCTGTGGCTAGATATGAGTGACCACGGTTATCTCAAGTACCGTGCTCCACCGTGGCAACAGTCATGAGGTTGTTAAAATCACAGAAGAGAGGAAGCCCTAAGTAGAGCCAACCGAAAATACATGGGTGGAAACGGCAGGCAGGCGGATTTCAGAGACCAGGAAAACTGCAGCTTCAGACGCTGGCTGCCTGTGGGTGGGAAGCCAGAGGACATCCGTACCTTCCGAAAGGATTTGCCTGAAGGTCACATGGATGTACATTCACACCCAGAGGTACGCACGAATGGCCTCAAGAACTAACGGGAGTTCAGGGTGATTTGACCCTGAACCTGTAACATTGCAACCCCACACACTCACACATGTTCTAGTTGGTCAGATGTTTAACACGGGGACCGGAGCAGGGCTCAGCAGTTAGGAACATTTGTTACTCTTGCACAGGACCTGGGTTTGATTCCCAGCACTCACATGGCAGCTCACAACCATCCATAATTCCAGTTCCAAGGTATCTGACACCCACTTCCAACCTTGCATGACGCAAACATTCACACACACAAAATACAAACAAATCTTTTAAAGTTCTAACTCGGGTGTGAGAACTTCACTTCACATTCTGAGGTGTGTCACAATAGCTCCCACTCACAAAGCACTGGCTATGTGACAGTCACCCCGCTAAACAATCAACAAGGAGCTCAGTTAATACAGAGATTAGCAAGAACCTGGAGAAGTGGGGTCAGCAACATGAAGTGGCGGATCTGGGTTTCAGACAGTCACCTCCAGGGTTGAGTTCATGGCCCTGGTGGGTGCCACCCATATCTTGAGCCAGCACCGGGGCTCTGTGTAAGCAATGTCCCAGGTTAGGCCAGAGCAAAGCAGGTCCTTCCTGGGCTCAGACACTGTGTCATTTAAGTGTCTTTGAGGTCTCTGTCTCAGGGTAGGATCTTACCTGCTCTTGTTCCTGTTGACCGTGTCCCGTGACAGTCCCTCTACACAGTGGCGTCTGCACTGCAGTCAGCACCCTGAGAGATGCCCAGGCACTGTCATTAGAACCAAGAGCCGTCAAGGACCTGTCTAGATCCACTGCCTAAGGAAGGAAGCAGGGTCATGTGATCCAAGCAGCGGCATCCTGCAGCACGTGCTAGCCTTGGGCCTCGTGGCCATGGAAACCTCTCCACTTGTGTCTCTCAGCCTGGAGATGAAACAGCTGCTACAGTGCAAGGTGGACCTAGAGAAGGAGCTGGAGACAGCTAGGGAAAGTGTGAAGAGGAGGCGCGAGCAGGAGCAGGCTTGGAGGTAAGGTACCCTGAGTGGTAAGGAGCGTTTGACCTATTGTGTCTGACCCAGGATCTCCCTGTGTCATGCAAACTGGCCTCAATTTACAGTTTTCCACCTACAGCCTCTCAGCTGTGAGAACCACATTTGTTCACAAGTGTGAAACCCACCCCGAATATCCGAATATCCCGGGTTTGTCTGTGAAGGGTTTCAAGCACCCGACTCTGGCTTTGAACTTGTTTTGGAATCAAAATGACCTTGAACTTTGTATTCTGCCTCCACCTCCAAAGTGCTGTGCTTGCTTGGTGTGCTAGCACGCTGTATTGTCGTACTGGAGATGGACCTCAGGCCTTCCTGCATGTTAGGCAAGCACTCTACCACAGACACATGTCACAGCCCCTAGGCCCCTTTGCCAACTCCGATGACATTTTAGGAATGATGCAGGACCCAGCATCCTCAGCCCTGCCCTTGCAGGCTCTGAGAGCGAGCCTAGGTGAGAGCTCAGCCCCGGCAGCTCTCCTGATGGTCATCAGTCCCCAGGACTGTGGACTCCCTATCCAGCACTGCCCTTACCACTGTGTGACCAGGTGACGACTAAGGTGTCCTCGTTTCCCTCTGCACTTTAGGGAGGAAATTGAAACCCTCACCAAAAAGTGTCAAGAACTGGAAGAAGCTAGGAGACAAGAGAGAGACTCCTTCATAGCAGTGACTCACGAGGTACCGTGTGGTGGGGATGTTCCCTCGGCTTCAGCACGGTGGGGCTTGTAGCCATTTCTTCACGTTCAACTTCCCCATGATCACCCACTGCCTGTCACCTGCCCTAATGATCTCGGTAACTTGGGTGATGTGTGTAGAATCCTCAGGCTGGCCTCGGGTCTCAGGCAGTTTAGATGTGGTAGGGGCAGCTCTGAGGAGGAGGGATAGCTCACGCCTAAGGAGCATAGACGTGGCTCTCTCCTAGTTACCTAGGCTGGCCTTGAATTTACCGTCCTCTTGCCTCTGCTTCTTCGGTGCTGGCATTACAGGCCTGTGCCCTTCAGGCTTCTCTTTTGTTTTTCTATGGAAGTCTCAGGACTTGCTGTCAGGCAAGACTTGTGGTTGTGAAGGTCACCTGGGTGTTCTCTACTTCCAAAGGTCAGCGAGAGGCCCTCTGGTCCCTGTTCTCTAAGCTGCCGACACCTGCGTATCCCGGAGATAGATGAACCCCCTTGTTAATCTGTCCCATGTGTGGGCCCCTGACATAAGCACAGGTGGAAACTAGTTCCTTAGGGACTAAATATCCGTGGCCACTCTTTACTCCAGAGGGGCCCGATATGTGAATGCATAATAAACCTTTGTGGACCAAACATGGTGGTGTAGGACCATGATCCCAACGTCCACGAGGCAGAGGCAAGAGGACGGAGAGTGCAGGAGCAGCCTGGGGTGCTCAGGAGCTGACTCAGTAGGTAAAAGCACTCTTGTTACACATGCATGAAGACATTCTAGGGACAGAGACAGGAGGATAGTGGGAGCTTGCTTGCTACCAGCCTAGCTGCAGATCCAGTGTGTGTGTGTGTGGGGGGGGGGGGTTACCTTGAAAGAATAAAGCAGCAAGTGACAGAACAGGACACCCGGTGTCCTCCTCGGGCCTCCACCATGATCAGGACAGGACGTGAAGAACGCATGGCTCACTGTGAGGTTGGCTGGTTTGAACGGTTGTGACCTCTGAGCCACACAGCATCCTGGTTGCTAGCTACCAGGTCCTGGGTGATTATCTTGGTATATGAAGCTTACACAGAGGGAGTGGGGCTGGACCTGTGAGTTGCCTACGTGACCTCCCTCTTAGGAGCATGCTTCTTGTCCTGGGCTCTGTCCCATCTGCCCAGGAGCAGCCAAGACACACATGTCAAAAAACTTTATAGAGCAAATAAAAATCTCAGCTTCGGTGCTGACTGGCACCGCTGTGTCATCAGCCACCGTCTGAAAGTGCACACCTCTGACGTGGCTGAAGGCTGTTGCTGCAGCGTGCTTCTCCACTGGACCTCCCTTTAGTGTGTGTGCGGTGGTGCACACATGCGCAGGGAGGAGAGGCTGGCTTGTCCAGGGACCCGGGGTGGCCCTGTTTCTGCCTCCCTGGTGCTGGGGTGACAAGCACACGCTGCACACGCTGCAACACCTGGCTTCTACGATGCTAAGGTCAAACTCAGGTCCCCATGCTTGTGCAGCAAGCGCTTTCCTGACTGAGCCATCTCCCTGGCCTTGATCCTGCCTTCTGATGGGAGGAAGATAATTTTGCCAGTAATTTTAACTTTATTGAGAAGAGCCCTGATAGGTGGCAGACTTGGAGAACACTACCTAGGAGTCGGCGGCGTCTCAGCAGTACAGCCCCGCCTCTTCCTACCAGAAGTATGGCAGCAGTGTCTCCACCTCAATTTCCCAAATCTCACTCCTATACCACATTAATCTTTAAAGAGAACTCTCAAAAAGACCGCCATTGCGCCAGGCTCAGACTTTGTTTTATTAAGTCTGCTGTCTGATGAGCGAGGCCTGCTGTCCCGCGGGGTAATATCCTGGTTAATATCCTGTCCGCTTGCCCGCTGCTGACATCTCTGTAGCAGCTGGCCCCTTTCATTTCCTGCAGGCTCACCCAGAACAACATGCACCCTCAACCAGCAGCAAGCACTCCGAGCCAGACTCCGACAACAGTGCTGATGAGGAGGGTAGCTCCCAGACCCCTGCCCTGTGCTCCGAAGAGAGGAGAGAGTCTGCCGTCAGGACCCTGCAGGCCCAGTGGAAGGCCCACAGGCACAAGGTAAACTTCCCAGGCCGTGTCTAGCTGCAGAACGCATTTGGTGTTTGCGTGTTCCATTACCCAGTGAGTTTCAGAGCGGATGGCGAGCAGAAGGCGAGGCTGCTAACTCTGGCCTCTGCAAAGGACAAGTGGTGCACACCTGTAATCCCAGTGCCAAAAACTATCAGGAGTTCAGGGTCACCCTAAACCCCAAGGGACCGTCCAGTAACAGTCAGTGACCTGATCACGGCCATCTTGGATGGCCACAGGACTGTGCTTCTAGTTGTGTCTGTGTCAGTCAGTCTCCCTGGTGTAAACAAAGTTTACTCAGCAGTGGACATGTGTCCAGGTGCTCCTGAGGAGATAGGGCAAGCCTTTTCTTCTAGGTGGAAACCAGTTTCAGAGCAAGGAATGGCAGGATTATCCCTGCTTTAGCAGAACACAGGAGCACGCCCTGCCCTCCCTCCCTGCTATCCTTCATGGGAAGAGAATTGATAGCAGCTCAGATTCTATTATTTATTGAATCTTTTAAAAATTTAGTTACAATCATTATTCTCTTTAATATTCAAGTTGTCCCAGATATGGTCCCAAGAGCCCCTTTCCCTGGCCTCTATGGCTGTGGTCTTACCAAGCATGTCACTGAATTATGGTGAAAGATTCCCAGGCCACTCTGCACCAGAATCAGGCAGGGAGACATAACTGCGGGTGCCCAGCTCCATTCTCCATTCTGGGTGTTGAGGACTGAAGTCCATGGCATGGTAAGCACCCTTACGGTAGTCCTCCCACCCAGTTAACTCAGCCCTGAAAGCCTCTCCCAGGCTCAGGTTGTCAGTGAAGATTAACCGTCACACGCACTTCTAAAGAAGGATCCACCGAGGAGACCCCCGCTAACTCATTTCTCGGTTCCTTATTTCAGAAAAGAAAAGCAGCTTTGGATGAGGTAAGCCAGGTCGGTTCCACCCATTTCAAAACCCCTACTTTGACTGTGGTATAAAGTAACCTGGGACCGTGGATGGATGTAGAGGGTGTGGGCGGGTGGTGTACACACACTTGTGCAGGGATGCCGTGCCGGTGTGCATGGAGGTCAGAGGAGGAAGGCGGAGCCTGCTCTCACTTTTGGGGTACTCCCTGAGACAGGGAGGCAGGGCCGCAGGGCCTGTCATTGAACTTGCTGGCCACAGCTATATCTACCCCTAGTGTGCTGGGGGCTCAAAAGTCTTTAAGCTTGCAAAGAAAATGCTCTTAACCTTGGAGCCATCTCTCCAGCCCACCCAAGGGCAATCTGAAGGCTGGCTTCCTTCCTTCCTTCCTTCCTTCCTTCCTTCCTTCCTTCCTTCCTTTTCTTTCTTTCTTCCTTCCTTCCTTTCTCTCTCTCTCTTTCTCTTTCTTTCTCTCCTCTTTCCCTCTTTCTCTCTTTCTCTCTTTCTTTTCTTTCTATCAGTACACTGTAGCTGTCTTAAGACACACTAAAAGACAGCATCAGATTCCATTACAGATGGTTATGAACCACCATGTAGTTGCTGGGAATTGAACTCAGGACCTCTGGAAGTGCAGTCAGTGCTCTTGACCACTGAGCCATCTCTCCAGCCCCTTAAAGGCATTTCTTTAAGTCCTGACTTCAAACTCTGAAATGAAGTTTAAAATACACTAGTAACAGAAGCATAAAATGGAACTCCTGAATAACTTCCCATTTTAAAAATTCTTTTACACAGCCTTTCCTCCATTCCCATGTTGAATTCTTGGTTGAACATTGCTACATGCTCAGCCACAGACGCCAGGACACGCACGCTGTGACTCAGGGAGTGTTGAGGTCTTGAGCACTAGAGCCTTGGTGTCCCTATGGGATAGATGGGACAGGACACAGGGTTGTCCCAACAGGAGAGACAGCAGAAAGAAGCAGGTTATGGTGGCGGTGAGATTGGAGTAAGATACTGGTATTTGTCACTGGAACCTCCTACATGCTAGATGTGCCACTACCACTGAGCCACACCCCAGCCCCTCACTGGGGGATTCTAGGCAG